ACTGGGAATGGGAAACATGGAATTGTGGGTGAGTTACTGGGAATGGGAGATGGAGAATTCCAGGGGATTGCTGAGAATGGGAAACACGGAATTCTGGGTGAGTTATTGGGAATTGGAAACCTGCAATTCTGGGGATTACTGGGAATAGGAAACCGGGAATTCCAGGGGATTGCTGAGAATGGGAAACACAGAATTCTGGGGGATTACTGGGAATGGGAAGTGTGGAATTCTTGGTGAGTTCCTGGGAATGGGAAGTGTGGAATTCTTGGTGAGTTCCTGGGAACAGGAAATTTGGAATTTTGGGCAAGTTCCTGGGAATGGAAAGCAAGGATTCCCTGGGAATTCCCAGAGCAGCTGTGGCTGCTGGTGCATCCTTGGAAGTGTCCAAGGCCAGGCTGGAGGGGGGTGAGGATCCAATCCCAGAGCGGAAATTTAGGAAAAAGCCATGGATGGATCTGTCAGGGAATTGTTTCCAGAGGAATCTCGAGGAATTTGGGTCCAGGTGCTTCAGGAGAGATGGAAAAACCCCCCCTGGATTACAGGGATGAACCCACATTTTTCCTGGTTTTGCATTCCTAAAAATCCCATTCTTTTGGGATTTCGGTTGTTTTCCAGTAAATAAGGGTGGAGAAGAAAATTTGGGATTTGGATTTTCCACCTTTTTTAATTTATTATTTTAATGAGATGGTGCCACCTTGTGGAATGTGCTGGGAGCAGGGGCTGGAAGCCACACTTGGATAGGATTTATGGATTTGATTGGATTTATTTGTTTTTATGTCAAAATTTTATACTTTAATGTTTAATTTTATTTTTTTCCCCCCAATTATGGAATGAATTGATGAAATTCCAATTGGGAATGGCCATACCCAGATCCATCCCAGTGACTGGGGCCAAAAAAACCCCTAGGGATTTAAAATCCTTCCTAAAACCAAAGGGAAAAATCTTGGAATTCCAAACATTCCAGTGGTAGAACCCCAAAAATTCCTTCTGGAAGATTTCCTTTCTCATGGGAATGAAATGGCCTTGAAGGTCCATCCCAACCCAAGGCATTCCAAGGGGTGTCCAGAGGGAAATTTGGGAATTTCTGGGGTTCCACCACTGGAATATTTGGAATTCCAAGATTTTCCACTTGGTTTTAGCAGGGATTTTAAATCCCTTTTTTTTTTTTTTTTGGCCCGGGTCACTGGCCACTCCCAACTGGAATTTCCATCTGGATCCATCCCAGTGACTGGGGCCAAAAAAAAAATCCTGGGGATCTGAAATCCCTGCTAATACCAAAGGGAAAATCTTGGAATTCCAAACATTCCAGTGGTAAAAGCCCAAAACTTCCTTCTGGAAGATTCCTCTTCCCATGAAAAATGGGAAAGAAATGGTCTTGGACATCCATTCCCAAACCAACCCTTTCAAAGGGGTGTCCCGTGGGAAATTTGGGAATTTTGGGGGTTCTACCACTGGAATATTTGGAATTCTCAACCCCAAGCATTCCATGATTCCCAATCCCAAGGCATTCCATGAATCCTAA